TGCATTTAGTCAGTGTACCTCAGCTCTAGCTCTAGCTTTCGGCAATATAATAATTGTTGTTTTTTTTAATAGTTAAGTACTCTAATCACAAATGTTCCTCCAATGGTGCTATCCATTATGGAGTTCTTAGGAGAAAAAAATATTAAATTTTTAAACATGTGAAATTAAAATTTTTATGAGAAAATGACTTAGAAAAATCTAAAAAATGTTTTTGTCACAAATATAGCCTATAAAGAAATAAATGATTAAAATAGACTTTATTAAAGAGTGTAAAAACACATTTATACTCTTTAGATTAACTAATTTAGACTTAAGGTTTAGAGTTATGGGGTTTAGGGGTTAGGGTTTAGGTATTACGGTTTAATTTTTTTTTTAAGTTAAAAATTTCAACAATCTGGTGTTGCCACGTCATTAAAGATCAAATCCTTAAAATACCTTAATTAAGGACTGATCATTAGCTTAAGCAAATTATATAATATTATTTAAATATATTTGCCTAAGAATACGTGCTAAGGATTTGGTTAAATCCCCCATTGTGGTGCTCTTAGGCATCTTGTCAGTGTTCGTGTGATCGGAGTTACTGAGACTTACGGTGAGTTACAGAGGGATCAGAGCTACAAACTTATCAGTATTCAGAACCTGAATGGTTCTAATACTCAATGAACGTATATCCACGATTCCAGTCCATATTTTGTGGATCCTGTGATTTTAACCAAATCAGATTGAAAATGATTCAATATATAGTAAAGGTATGTCTTGAGACATGAAACAAAGGACAAACCTTTTGGGAGTTTGGAAATTTGAACAACTTGACCCATTTCATTTTTTGTTTTCATAATGTATGTCTCTGTACACTCTCTATAAACATTACCAAGAAAGAGACGGTGCTTTGCTTGGATACTCGAACATTTATTCTTTTACCCTATTGAACAACAAAACTAAACAGAAGTATTGTTAGATTGTACATTCCGTTTCAAGATGGTCATTTAATCTTTTTAAAATATATTAATAAAATCATTAAACATTTTATTTACTCTTACCTAATATTATTTTGTTTTCTTAATCAATGAGATAAAGTAAAAATAAAACTGAAAAATACTAAATATTAAATATATACATTGAAAATATAAAACGGCACTTAAGCAAACATCTAGAATCTAAAGTAACACTTAATATAAATTAGAGGGAACTTTTATATATTACTAGGCCGGGCCGCGCTTCGCGCGGCGAGTGGATTCGTTAAGTATTCGACATGATTTTTTTTTTAAGTTCCAAAAATGTAGTTATATATGAAAAATCGCTTTATATGGAATTTCAGTATTGAATTTCAAAATCATTATAGTTAAGTAAATTGTGTGATAGATGATTAATCTTCTATTTTTTTTTATAAAATATGTATCATTTGTTCTCTCGTATATCAACTCTCTTAAATATTGTTTTTGTGTGTTTGAATTAGACCAGTTAAATTAATCTTTTGAATTTTTTTTAAATATTCTTAATCAATATAGTTAGTTAAATATATTGACACAGCTTTAAAGTTTTCTAATATTATATATTTATAGTGATTTTAATAATGAT